GAGAGCTGAGGAGCTCTGAAATGCAGCATTTTGGGGGCTTTTGAGGGGCTGGGTTGTGGCTTGAGGTCGTCGCGCTGGCTGCGGGCGCCGGGGTGCCTGTTCCCCGTGCGGTGGGGGAGGATGCTCAGGACGACAAGGGGGAACCGCTTGTGGCTCTTCAAAAGCAACCTCAATTCCAGCTGGCCCCCTTACGTCTTCCCAAAGTACGTCTCCGTGTATCCAGCCGAACTCAAACCTGGGATCTTTGCCTGGGAAACTCAAGGTACAGTGTCAAATGAAAGAGAATAAAACATCACCACCACTGTGCATTAGAAAAGCCATTTAAAGTACCACATGCCGGAGTGATCAAACAGTTTCAAGCTAGCTTCGCTGCGGGCGCTGAGCGACGCCGGGGGCTGCAGTCCTGCTCTGCTTCCCGAGCAGGTGCCTTCGGTCCCAGGAGCCAGCTCAGCCGGGGACAGTCCCAGCTGCGGTGCCGCCTCTTCCCTCCCGGAAAGGGCCAGAGACACGGGGCCTCGGGCTCCCAGCGCTGCATCTCAGCCGGCGGCTCTCCAAGGAAGAAACAAAAGCAGAAGAAAACCCCCGGTGGATCTCGCGGGCTCACCCGGGCAGCCAGGACACCCCTTCTGCAGCAATCCTCCCTCTGCAGCCATCTCCAGCCCTTCATGGCCAGAAGGGACCACGCAAGGTTAGGGCTGGCTTTTGGGGCTGTTTGCACCGTCTAGCTCAGGGGCAAACTCCGTCATCACCCTCCGAGCCAGCGGGTTTGTGGTCTTGAGCAGTTCAGCGGCAGATGGCCGGGTACCGGGGCTGGTTTTGCTGCTCTTCTTCTGGAGCAAGGCTTTAAAGTCTTCGTTCCTGCTGGAAGACTTCCCACTGCTGCCCGCTGCTGCGGGGGACTCGCTGGTCGGGGAGCCCGACGTCTTTACGGGCGAGGGGGAGTTGGGCCGGCTGCCAAAGGTGTCACCAGGCTCCTTCCGCCCCAAGACCTTCCTCTTCGACCTAGGCACCAAAGAGACACGTGGTGGGAGCAGCCCTGGGCGGGAGCCGCCATCCCTCTGGATGGGGCAAGCTCCTACAGCAAGGAGCACGCTGCCTGCCCAGCAGTGGCTGTGCCTGCTCTGCCGGGGCACGAAGACAACCTGTGCACGGCAGGCGATGCACCTAGCTGCCGGCAAACGCTCTCCTGGCAGCTAGGTCCAACCTGCCCCGAGGCTGGTGGAGCAGTGGACCACCCCCCCTGCAAGCTGGTGACCCAACCTGGCCACACGCTCAGGGCGCTAAACTGTGAAGCGCTTGAGGCAGCAACAGCCGGGTCATCCCCAAGTGTGAGCATCATCCCCCGTGTTGAAAATTGAAGGTGTCGTGGCGAGGGGGACACTGTGACACTGGGGGACACTCCGACACTGTGACAGCAGCAGGATGCAGGAGGTGCGGGGGGCTCTGCCCACCCAGTGCCACGCACCAGCCCTACCTGTGGATCACGGTGAAGAGATCCTCTGTGGTGCGGGACGTCACGAACACGTCGTCGTCCTCCTCCGCGATGGAGTCGGCTGTCTTGTCGCTGGCGAAGCTCTTCTCCTCCGTGCTGGCCTCCGCCGAGCTGCCTGTGGGCGGGGAGGAGAAGGCAGCCATGACCACACTGTGTGGGCACAGGGGGGACCCCTAAGCTTGGGGTGAAACCCACCATAGGAGCGGGAGACCCTCACCTTGCTCTGTGGCAGGGTCACCAGCTTGTCCTGTGCCCATGGCCTCTGGGGACGGTGGGTCCTCAGCGTCGGGGTTGCAGCAGGCAGGGTCAACGTCCAGCGTGATGATGGGGCTGGGGGTGGGCGCCTGGTCCCCCATGCCGGCTCCCAGCTGGGCTGGGGCTGGGGCGAGTGGCAGGTAGAGCACACTGGGTTTTTTGGGCACTGGCGGTGGCACCTTG